GGCACGAGGGATGACGTGACGTGGGCGTGGCGAGCCTCCCTGGCTCGGCCACGGCGGGATGTCGAGGGCGTGGCGAGCCTCCCTGGCTCGGCCACGGGCATGGCGGGATGACGAGGGCGTGGCGAGCCTGCCCGGCTCGGCCACGTCGGGATGACGAGGGCATGACGAGGAAAACGTGGCGTGGCGAGCCTCCCTGGCTCGCTCACGGTCGGAGGGCGTGGAGAGGTGACGCGGGGCATGAGCGAGCTCGGGGCTTGCTCACGGGCAGGAGGACGGACCGGTGAGCCGGCCTCGGCTTCCTCCTGGGCATGGTGGCTAAGCCCCCCCATGGGCTCGCTCAGAGCAGAAGGGGGGGGCCGCCACCGTCGCCGCCGCTGCTCCTGGGTGTCTCCGCTGAGTCCAGTCTGGCGAGTGCGTTCTGTCACGAAGGTGGGTTCTTGGAGGGAGGACTCAGTTGCGGAGATGAGGGGAACAAGGTTTATTGTAACAAAAACCAGAGTGAATGTCCAGACAAAGTACAAAGTAAAGCTGTGGAAAACTGTGATCAAAGTAACAAAGCAATGAGCAAACAAGACGGAGGCAAAGTAACAAAATAACGATTGACAAAACTGTAACTATGGCAAGAAAAGACTATGACAAAACAAACCTGGCGTGGGGGAGACGACGGACAAGACGGACAAGAGACGAAAACGCACTCGCGCCAGACAAGGGGAAACAGGACTATTTAAACACATGAGGAGGGGAACCCCAGGTGTACACAATGGGTAATCAAGACGAGACACCAGACGTGACAAAACCGATGTGTGACCAGTGAATTTCTCCACTGTGAGATCAATAAAGCTCTTATCTTATCTTATCTTAATATCAGGCTGTTAGCCAAATTCTTGAGTTGGAAACCAGAGTAGATCAAGACTACAAAAATGACATTTATTGGATCACAGGTAATGTATATCAGCACTGGGCTCTCACAGACAAAGACTCCATGAGGGTCTTAGTAGGTAAAGAGCCCTGAACTCTAGGCTGGGTCCGTCCCTTCAAAAGGAGGACTGGATACAACCAAGTGCAATTGGTCAATTAGCTTTGGCATAAACAGGCCAGGTTCTTATTCATGGAGATGACATAGGAATGTGCTAACAAACTGTGTGGGTGTGTGTGTTGACCTAAAGACGTGGATTTCCCTCTGGGGTTATTAAAGTATTTCTGTTTCTGATTTCTGATTCTGATCTAATGCAACAGAGAGAGAAAAAATTCAAGAAAAGAAAATCTGTGGGCACACCCAGAGAGTTTACACAAAAGTATAGTTCTAAAAGGAAGAAGACAATCAGTTATTTACATGGATTATGTTATAGCATACAATGCTAGAGTTAGTAATTATAGCCAAATTCTAACAAGGCAGTGGGCCAGCACCAAATGTGGCAGCTCATTCAATTTGAATTCAATTCAATTTTATTTATATAGCGCCAAATCACAACAACAGTTATTAACACGGCAGGTCAGACCACACTCTGAAGTTATTTACAAAGGCCCAACAATTACCACCAAAGAGAGAGAAGAGGAGAGGGGAGCTCGGTGAATCATGGGAAATCCCCTGGCAGTTTAGCACAACCTCAGCCAGCCCTAACTATAAGCTTTATCAAAAAGAAAAATCTTAATCCTTCTCTTAAATGTGGAGACAGCGTCTGATCTACCTGCTAATCTCTGAGAAGCATGGGAAATCTGGGAGGGGGAGCTGAAACATCTTAACGGCATTTCCATTCCCTGGTGTTACTTCCCACTCCATGCCAAAGAGACAAATGCAGAATATGTAATTGTACCTTCAGGGGTCCAAAGACTTGCCACTATATATTCATATATAAATTACACCTCTGGCCTTAACACAGCTCACCCCTCAAGACATGAAGAGGTTTATGCATTTGATGGCATATTGTATATTTTGATTTTCAGGAGTTTATCAACATAGCAAAAAGAACAAACTAGAACAGAGTGGTGAACTCTTGAAGGAGGACAGCTTTATTTAAATAGAAATATCAGAAAAAACTAGATGACTTTGGATCTGATAAAATATACTTTCCAGAGTTTAGGGAGTAAAAAATTGAGGATATGTGGATATGTGTACACTTATCAAAAAACATTAAAACATTGGTGGGATGCCCAGTTTAAAAAAAAAAAAACTATCAAGTTAAACATGCTCTAATAGCCTTGTTTGGATTTTTCCTAACCTTTGGTCCAATCCTTCTGTAGCAGCACATGATGACCTTATCCAAGATAAACAAACGTGATGTAACTATGCCTTTCCTTCTCCAGTGAGCTCATCTGGGCGAATTTAGTGGGTCTTTTGTTTTGTTGTACCGAAGAACACAGTGTGCACTGTTTACTGGAAACACGCTCATCAGGCTGTTGACACAAAAGCTAACCAACATGCTTGGTGAAACCGGAGTTGTTGAATGGAACAATTGTTCCCTGTTCATGACCCACTCTGTGAACTTGAGCAGCATTATAAAAGTTTGAACATTTCTTCATAGAGGAATTTCCTGAACTCTGCTGGGTCTGTTGAGAAATCCACCCCCCCTCCTATCCCCTACCAATTGATTATAATACAGAGTCAGAGACCATAGTGGATCAGAAGGCTGAACTGTGAGCGGAGCAATATGAAGGTAAACACCTCAAATTCACTTACTATTTACGAATAATTAAGATGTATTTAACATCTCCTTTTCCTTTCTGTTCACAGTTCAATTTTGCGGCCACTTTGCAGTTGTCACTTGCCTTTGTGTCACAGATTTGGTAGGCATACACACATATTTACATTCTGCTGCTGTTTATAATTTCAATTATCTTGCTAATCCTATTTGTCTTAGCTATTTGTCTTTTTAAGAGTAGTGGTCTTGCTTGTTATTTTCTATGTACTGTCAACCAAAGTAGTAGTTGTTTTGTCTTTTGTTTTTATAAATGAAAACATCCGCTTCTCTCAGCTGTCAGCAGCCTATAAACTGCAGATGGGGACCTTATGGAGAATGGTCTGACTGCGATGGTTGCACCAGGACAATGGTAATTAATATAACTGTTCTCTCAACACTTAGGATGATGCTTTACAGACTTATTTTCAAAGACCCAAATATAGTTACAAATTTTGTTTTATTCAAGCATTCTTTTAAATGAAAATATCTGGTGCTAAATAGACAAATGACCCAAAAGGGATATAAATCTATTTGGCTTCATCTGTACGTCTTTTTAAATAATTTGGTTTCAGAGATTCCTTTTTTTAAATGTCAAACTTGATATTGGAGGGTACAGACATATTTCAGTCATTCAAATGAAGTGTGTCTCTGACCAATTACAAGATTTTTCAGGCTGTTTAACTGCCTACTCTTCTTCACATTAGCATCAAGAACTTTGTTTTATGTTTTCATAATAATAAATGCAAGAACCTCAGCTCACGTTACTGCAACTCTTCCTATTTATTAAATACACCCTTACACTGAATCTCGCAGGTTAGAAAAATCCTTAGAGTTTTAGGCATGATCTCCACAGTACTTTGTAGCTTTACTTACAGTATAACTACTGCAGTGAGCAAAACTAGTGCTTCTGACCCCTCCCCCTCAGTTTAGCAATTCCAGCAAACCCACATTTCACTTGAATACTTAACCCTTTAAAGTTTGATCCTAGAAAAAATTGAGAGGAAATGTATTTTTTTTTTTTGTTTGAAGACTTTATTTGGCCACAAACACTCACATTTACTTTTATTTGCAACTTAGAGTGTCCAAATAATCTAACATGCATGTGTTCAGAAGGTGGGAGGAAGGACACATGGGGAACATGCAGACTCCACACTGACATGTCCTGGTTCCCCTGGGGACTAGAACCGCAAACTTTCTTGCTTTGAGGCAACCACTGAAATCGTAGCTTTAAAATATTATATATATGGTATTATAGGGTTAAATCTCCATCTTGTTCTTAGCAGTTGCCATATTTTTGAGGTAGCGGGTATATAGGTTGTTGCAGTCTGCAATGTCAAACATTCTCTTTTGATAGAAATGAAATTACAGAAAATTGCTTCTGTAGCTGATACTTCTGTATGATCCTTTAGATTCTTCTTTTGTGATGAAAATAGAAGGAAAAAGCCAGAAATACGTTCAAATGTCTTAGCGGCTTGACTCTGAGACATCCTTTGGAACTTGACCATAAACATGAAAACAGACTAATGTGAGCACTACTGAATTAATCTTTTTTAACCGATCTATTAACCAAAAGTCTGTTTTTCTTTTTGAGGTGCGATTTCGTCACATGGAGGTGTATGCCCAATTTGGTGGCTTGCCATGTTCAGGAGAAGCCACACAAACACGTTCATGTGTCCCACAGAAGAAATGTCCTTTTGAAACAGGCTGTGGTAGCAGATTCCGCTGTACCTCAGGTATGTTGTAATATACAATTAATGAAAATGTCTTAATTGGTTCATTGTTTAATTTCTGTCTGCTAATTTTTTGTAAAAATTTAATCCCCTTACAGGTCAGTGTATCAGCCAGTCCTTGGTATGTAATGGAGACCAGGACTGTGGGGATGGTCTGGATGAACAAAACTGTGACCAAGGCAACAGCCACTATTCTTGCGATATTCTCAAAACCCCTCCTAACTCTGACTTCACAGGCAGTGGGTAAGTAGTTGCTTCTTTAGAGGTTTTGAAATTTAAACTTGGACATATTTTCAGTGAGTTCACATCACTGCTAGTTAATCAGAACAATTCTGAAGTGAAAAATGTGCCATCTGTTAGTTAAAAAGCAATTAAACTATTTCCTATCTGAAATCTCAAAGGTATGACGTGCTGACAGGAAAACTGAAAGGAGGTGTGATCAACACTCTGAGTTTTGGTGGGCAGTGCAGGAAGGTTTACAGCGGGGACCACAGAGTAACATACAGACTGCCACAAAATGTACTCAAATACAGCTTTGAGGTGAGGAAATTCTTTGGTAATTATTTTTAACCCAAAACTCTGTCAGTGAAAAAAGTGAATTCATTCAGAATTTCTTGTCAGCCCATAAATTGTTTAGTTGGCCACTTCTGCCAGCTCCTCAGGGGTAATCCCAAGGGGTTCCCTGGCCAGACAAAAAACAACCTCTGGATCTCTTCCCAGTGGGACGTGCCTTGAACACCATAACAGTGAGGCATCCTGGAGGAAACATAATCAGATGCTAAGCCACCTCAACTAGCTTCTTTTGACACGGAGGAGCAGCGGGACTACTCTGCTCTCCTCCCCAAGACCGAGCCTTTCACCCTATCTCTAAGGGAGAGCCCGACACCCGGCAGGGGAAATCCCTAAGGCCACCAAGACAGATCCCCTCAACACCTTGGCTGCACCTAGAAATAATGTCCATAAAATTTATCAGCACATTCGGTGACAAAGGGCAGCTTTCCAACCCTACTCTCTGAATAAATATTAACAGGGAGACCTGTAGTTAGAACATGCTTTAAATTGGGAAACCACCACCCCAGTCTGTCATTCCGGTGGAACTGCCCCTGATGTCCACACAATATTACAGAGTCAACCAACACAACCCCACAGCATCCAGAGCCTTTAGAAACTTCAGGCAAATCTCATCAACCCCAGGGGCCCTGCCACCAAGGAGTTTTTTAACGGAGTGCCCAAGTCTATGTCCCTAGGCTCCACTTCCCCAGAAGACGATGTGCTGTTGGGATTGAGGAGGTCTTCAGAGTCCTCTTCCCACTGACCCACAACGTCAACAGCGCAGCTTTCCTACGATAAACAGTGTTGATTGTGCACTTCTTCCCAACCTGAGACACCGGATGGTGGACCAGAATTGCCTCGAAGATGTACAAAAGTAATTTTCCATGGCCTCTCCATACCACTCCGACACCCAAGCTTTTGCCTTAGCAACCACCCGTGCCACATGCTGCTTGGACTACCAATACCGATCAGTTTTTTCTTAAGTCCCACAGGCCAAAAATACCTGACAGCCTGACAGTATCCCTCATTGCTGGTGTCCACAGTGGGTCTGACAGGCACCGACTGGCAAGCTGCCTTGGCAATTGGGGCACGGAACATGGCCCACTCAATGTCCCCTACCTCCCTTGTAATGCGCTCAAGGCAGTCCTGCAGGTGGGAGTTGAAGCTCTGTCTCCCAGCAGACTGCCAGGCATTTAGACCTGCCAGGTCTAACCTGCATGCACCCCACAATCTGAGCTAACTCACAATTGTGTTGGCTCTTATAAACATGCAGTTCGCTATGGACAACAGTGATAAGCCCAAAGGTCCAACAACAAAACACCAGACTTGGATTCAAAGTGGGAGGACCATTCCTCCCAAACACACCGCTCCAGGTCTTGCTGTCATTGTTCACGTAAACATTTAAGTCTCTCCAAAAACAAGGAGGGGCAATTGCAAGCATCCCTTCCAACGACTCCAAAAAGGGTTGGTTATCTGTAACTCCAAACTGGGTTACAGGACCCATTCCCCCACATGTAGGTGGAGGAAAGCTATTGTCTAATTCACTGCGGTTAACCCTAACTTACATGCACCAAGATAGAGGCAACAAGTATGTCCACTCGTGCTCGGCGTCTCTCACCAAGAGCAACTCCAGATTGAAAGAGTGTCAAACCACTTTCGAGGGGAGCCAAAGCTGTGCATTGAGTTCTAGCCAGAATCTCTCCACCTTTTACACTAACTCAGGGTCCTTCCCCATCAGGGATGTGACATTCCATGTCCCGAGAGCCAGCTTCTGTAGCCGAGGATCAGATGAAAAGTTTCCCTGCCTTCGGCTGCCACCCATAACTACTTTAAACCTTATTGGCCCTTCCCACAAATGGTGAGCCCATCAGAAACGGGACCCATGTTTCCTTTAACCCATGGCTAGCCTGGCCAGGCTCCATGGGTGAAACCCTGCCCCCAGGCACTCACCAGCCTGTCTCATATCCAGATCTGGCTCCAGAGTGGGGCCCCAGTCACCAATGTCTAGGCGAGGGAACACTGTTTCAATTGATGTCACCCATCATCAGGGATTTTTAGGCTGTGTTTTGGGCTAAAGTTTTTGGTTTTCTGTTTTAGGTTTGTTGGAAGGTGTTATTGTTCCATCGTATTTGTAGGATTATTGTGTTAATAATAACAGAACTTAGAGACAAATTCTTCAGACACACTAAACGTTTAACTTTTCATCAATTTTAAATTTTTTATCAATCCAATTTTGATCCTAAAGGAAGCATTTTTAAGCAGTTTAGTGGACGTATTGTGCTATCATGTTTTCAACATGATCTGTAGTTTTTTGTTACGATCTGGGTCCAACGTTTTGGAATAGCTAAAGTAACAATATACATAAAACAAAAAAACAGAAACATAAAAGAAAACATGGGCAAACGATGTGGTGTTTGATTGAATCTCTGATGAGTTGGTTGAGTTGTAAAGATGCAAAAAAATAGTACTCTTTATTTTGTACATTTTCAGTGTAATTTTCCCATCAAGATATGCTCTGCTCTACCAGAACAAAAAAAAATTAATTACCTTTTACAACATAGATATTTTGGGAACTCTTGCATATTTTTTTTGTAAGGAGTAAGCAATTGTAAATCAATAACAGGACCAAAGCACTAAAATGAACATACTCCAGTAGTCAGCAGATTGCTTTGAAGCCTCTCTCCAGTAAAATTCCCCCATCTTGAGCATGCATCTTGGAAAGAGAAAAAACTCCCTTTTCAGAGGAATAAACCTTAGGCTTAACCAGACTGAGAAAAAGTAGCATCTGCCTTGACCCACTTGGGTTTGAGAGGACAGGAAAGAGACATCAAACACCACAGCAGCTGGGGATACCTAAAGATCAGGAGAACCCCAAAGTAATGGTAATAGTATGTCATTTACAAGATGGAAAAAGTTAAAAAGTTTGGGGAAGGGTCATCATTAAAGCCCCCCTGCAAGTGCAGGTGTATAGCAGGATCACTATGGGATGTTTCAGGGTCACCTGAGTCCTCCTTTATCAGATTTAGCAAAAAATAAAGTTTTCTGGCTGATCTTAAAGCTAGAGTCCTCTTTTATCAGATACATCTAATAGGAAAGATTTACAGCTCATCTTACAGCTATAAAGGTGACTATTTTGCGATTTAGAAACTGTAGGAACCACAAATAGATCTGCGGTCTGAGAGTGATGAGGTCTGTTCAGAAAATGTCTAATTATGAGGCCTTCAATATAGGATGAAGCTTGATCATTCAAAGCTTTATATGCATGGAGCAGAATCTTTATTATGTTTAATTCTATTCTGCAATTAACAGGGAGCCAGTGAGAAAAAGCTAAAACTGGAGAAACATGATCACTCAGTCTAATTTTCATGACAAGCCTGGCAGCAGCTTTTTGATAAAGCTGTAGGCTTTTTACATTATTTGTGGGCACGGTTCAATAATTTAATTACACTTGGTTAAAATTAAATTATTAAATGCATGTACCATTTTTTTTATCACTGAGACAGTCCTAGAAACATGTTGACTTATGCAAATGGTTACAAAAATAAACTGCAGTTATCAAAATGACTGTGTTAGCATTTAGAAATATTAAGATACATTATTACGGTAAGGCATATTCCAGGGTCTGGTCTTGTAGGGGAGTGGCTCAGACTACGCATGGAGAGTGGTTGATTTTGGAGGATATAGAAAAGACGAAGGTTAGTTGGAAAGAGATGGAGTATTGCCAACTCCCCAGAACCTAAAACTCTGAGCAAGTGGAGACCTGCACTGTCCATTATATTCAGGTACCCCAACATTGCGAAATATTTTGTCAGGCTGTAATGTTAGTCTGTTGCAGCAGGGGCTAAGAGAATAAAACAATTTAATGATTATATATTGCCTTTGCCTGTACTGTAGGTGCAAGTAGACAATGAAGAGAGTGATGAGTCCTACGAGAGTCATTGGGTCTACATGCAGCACATCCAGTCAAACGCCTTGAGGGGACATGACCGTCGTTCCTTTCATAAAGATGTCTCGGAAGATAAGGTGACTATATAATTTGCTTCAAAATTCACTGTTGATGTTTAACATTGATGGAATATTACATTCCTTCTCTTCTTCTTCTTTATCACCCAGGCCTATAGACTTATAATTTTGAAGAATAAAGTAAAGCTGGCCCAGTTTCAAAACTCTGCCCCTCAGTATCTGACTCTATCTGAGGCCTTTTGGAAAGCCTTGTCTTCATTGCCCCTTACATATGACTACTCAGCTTACCGGAAAGTGATACAGACTTTCGGGACACATTACATCTCAGAAGGATCACTTGGAGGCGAATATCAAGGCTTGTTGGAGTTGGATCAACAGGCATTTGAATCAAGCAGTAAGAACTTTTTATGTGAATGTATTTTCTTTCAATGAAAATATTTAGCAAGCTTAGATCAATTAATTCAGCACACTAAGTTGAAAGTAGATTTTTAATTCTAAATATCACAAAATATTAATTAAATCATATTCAGGAGACAGGTGTCAAACTCGAGTTCTTAAAGACCACAATCCTGCAGTCTTTGGATGCTAACCTTCTTCAACATACCTTATTCACATCAATGCAACATTAGCAAGCCAGTAAAGACATTAAAATGTTTTGCAGAGCTATTCAATCAGAATATGGTATAAAACCTGTGGGAGAGCAACCCTTTAGGAGTTTAACACCCCTGTTTTTGGAGATTCTTATATTTTGAGTTAATAAAAAAACATAAAAATAGCTAGTATGATATAATTAGAATATTGGAGAGCAATTGGTTGTGTTGGAAAGAAATAATTGCATACATTTTGAATGAAAACATTTGAAGTGTACAGTTTGTAATGTTTGTTATGCATGTGGGCACACAGGTATAACAGATATAGAGTACCAGAGGTGCTGGAAAAAGACGAAACGCTTTCTCTTCTTTAAGAGGGTCAAAATCACCTGTGAAAAACTTAAAAAAGTTTTGGAATCCAGCTCCAGTGAGTAACAGTTTTCTTATTTAGATTTTCAAATTACTTGTGGGAGTCAAATGGATGGATAAAGTCAAACTTGCGTGTAACCATGCATAAATGTTACTTGTCATTTTTCCACAGAAAGCAATCATCACAAACTGCCAATTAAGGTTAATATATTTGGAGGAGATCCATCATTCATAGCTGGTCTATCTGTTTTGGATCTTGAAAACCCAGAAGCCAATGGAGAGATCTATAATAGCTGGGCCTCATCTGTCAAAGATTTCCCTGACCTTATAGACCTGAAGGTAACCGTCCCAAATGCTAGATTTTAAGCTTTACATTTACTTTTTCCCAAAACTGTTTTTACTTTTGAGTGTCAGTTACATTTCTGTTTTCTTTGTGTATCAGTGCAATAGCTGGAAACACATCCTCAACACTGTTGTAGGTAGCAAAATCTGGTTAGAGGTCAGTCACCTTGGCATCATATTAGAGCGACTGGATGCAGGATTAATAAAAAGCCAGACTTCATGGTGTAGAATTTCCTTAGGGTTCAACAAGAGAGTTCGTGATTTGCCCAACATGAACATTTTTTACGTTGTTGTTTTACAAATTTCCAGTACTTTGACCTAGCAAAGCTTAAAAAAGCCTGACTCACCTGCTGATTCCATTCTGAGCCAGTAAACAATAGATTCATGTCAATGAGTGGTGTCCATGTAAATGGGATTCACTACCAACATGAAATATTTAGCACTGTTTTGCAGATTGATCTAATTGCTGTATGGAACACTAGTTTGAAATTTTTTCCACATATTTTCCACCCTTTCTTCCTACTTGTCTAATTGCAACCAAATATGTGAACTTATTTTCCAGCTGCGCCCCCTATACGAGCTGGTAAAGGAGGTACAGTGTGCAGGTTTGAAGAAGCTTCATCTGAAGAGTGCAATAGAGGAGTACATGGCAGAGGAACATCCCTGCCACTGCCGGCCCTGCCAAAACAATGGACAGCCGCTGCTCACAGGCAGGGAGTGTAGCTGCACTTGTCGGCCCGGAACTTCAGGAGCTGCCTGCCAAATAGGAACTGTGATCGGAGAACGAGCAGGTAACAAAAAAAAACAAACTGACAGAACAGATAAGAATGAACACAACAAGAAAACCATCAGACATGTTTGCAACAGAATTATAGATATATTGTTAAAATCTATAAGAAAGACACAATGAGGAAAATGCTTTACACGGTCTGTTGTTGTCAAGAAGGTGGGATCTTGGAGGGAGGACTCAGTCGCGGAGATTCAGAAAACAGGGTTTATTGTAACAAAAACTCACTCATGGAGTGGATGGTGACAAAGTTCAAAACAAGGCTGTGAGAAAACTATGATCAAAGTAGCAAAGCAAGATAAACATGGCTGTGGCCAAAGTATCAAAACAAGACTATGGCAAAACAAGGTTAACAAGACTGTGGCAAAACAAGGCTATGACAAAAACATGGCTATGGTACAAAGTAAATAAGACTATGGCATGGAGCAAAAGCAAAACCTTACGTGACATGGGGAGACGAAAGACGAAAGATGAAAACTGAAACGCACTGGCACAGGACATGGGAAACGAGGACTATTTAAACACATGAGGGAGGGGAACCCCAGGTGTACACAATAGGTAATCAGGACATGACGAGACACCAGACATTCCCCCAGACGTGACAGTTGTTAGTGAGACAAACTCCCTCAGAAAGGATATGAGACAAAAGAGAGCTGAGAAGCCCCTCCACTCTTTTCCACAGGGGTGATCCATGGCAGCTGGAGCTGTTGGTCCTCATGGGGATCCTGCTCTGGAGGAGCAAGATCAAGAACCCGAACCTGCAACAATCCTGCCCCGAGAGGAGGTGGGCAACATTGCATTGGACCACAGATGGAGCGGAAGAGATGCGAGGACCCAGATATCCAGTACTTAAAGTAATGACACAGTAACCCCTGTTATTCAATAAATAGCATCACAACTCAGAAATTATTTGATAGCTCTGTTTTTGGTCTGTACTCATTTCCCCTGCACTGTCAGAGGCTTATCATAGAAAGAAAATGATTATAACCTGACTATACACATTTTATTCAATCTAGATATTCAATCTGCAAAAGTGAAATAAAACAGCTATGCAACTTCCGTATAAATTCCCTGCCATTTATCTAAATGTATGTAATTTCACAATGATGTCCTCTATGTATATTTTATATAAATCTAAAAAGTTTAATTTCAGCTCAAGTTGCAACGGTGACAACAGACTTGTATTTACAGAGACTTACCGTACTTTTCATTTTTTTGCTCAAAGGATGATGGAGCCTCAGTGTTTCAGTCTTTCCGTTACCCCACCAAAAATCTGTGGGGCCCCTCCACACCTGTCCAATGGGTTCCTTCAGGTGAGTTGAATATTAAGCCATGCTGTTTTTTTTTAAGGTGACCTTTTAAAGATTAGGAAAGTCTTTGAAAATAACCCTTTCGTTTCTGACCCCCCCTCCCCAGAATCCTAAAGATTTTTACAGAGTAGGAGATATAGTGGACTACTTGTGCATACCGGGGTATTACCTAACAGGTAATGCCCAAGTCACATGTGATGAAAACCAGAAGTGGAGCGGAGGAGAAAGGGTTTGTAAAAGTAGGTCCTTGATTTAAAACCTTGACTGTTTTTCTCCTTGAATCGTGCACTCACAATTTGACATTTTTAGAAATACTTTGTGTAAAAGATTCAGGTGAAGTTGATTCTAATTTTGCAGGTAATTACGCTGAGGGTGTCACCTGTTGCCATGATCTGATTTAGACACAATAAAACCTATATCTTTAAAATGTTGGTCCTTTCACCTTCCGTTGTTCAAAATGTTTTTATTCTTATTCCAGGTACTGAGTGTGACATGCCGCTCCTCAACAGTCTAGTTGAAGCAAGGCCTGCTAAGAAAGCTTATGAGATTGGAGACAAAGTGTCTCTGTCCTGTCCCACTGGCTGGGTGCTGGATGGTGATGTGTCAGAGAGTATTTGCAGTTCCAGTCTGCAGTGGTCACCTTCCCCTGATGATATTCACTGTATAAAAGGTACAACACATGTTGAAAAATCTCCATGTCACAATTGTGAGGACTTCTATGATAATATATGGGTAATAAGTAATGCCACTGTGAACTTTCCTAAAGCACTGAAATTTATGAAGTTGATATTAAAAAAGGTTACTTAAGTTTGATTTCATAGCCAAGTAATGCACGACTGTCAACAGGCAATGTGCTAATGTTCTGGTAAGGATGTTTATCGTTCTCAAATCTTGAAAGAACAAAAAGAAAAGCTGTAGTTGTCTATATGCACAAAAACTCAGCTAACCATCTTTATTTTTGTTTATTTATTTTTTTCATTAATGCAGAAAGACTATAAATGTAATCTCAAGGCACTTGAAGGGTTATCCTTTTAAATACAATTAAAAACCAATTCATTGTGATACAGTCACAAGACAATCAAATCCATGTAAATAAACTATTCAATTATTTCTTAGCATCCACCCCACAACCTACAACAGAGATGAGATGTAAAGTGTGGGAGAATGAAGGGAAACGGGGCTGTGTTTGTAAAATGCCATTTCAGTGCTCGTAAGTATGATTCTAGAGTTTAGAGTCAGCATCTTTTCTAGCTTTCTTACAGTGTTAAAAAAAGAAAAAAAAAACTATAATCTCAATGCTGCATTTTTCTTTAAATTCTCAGAGATTCCCTGCAGCTGTGTACCAAGGTTGCATCAAGATCGACACCGATTTTATTAGGAGTTTGTCGTCTTGGTGCGTTACAGTGTTTGGGCCGGAGCTTCACACTGACCAGTGACGCTGACTGCGACTGGCCAGAGGAGACTTTCACATCCTGTAGGGACTGCAAACCAGGGACAGTCTGTCAAGGTTTGTGTAGCTTTATTTGTTATTTGTTATCACAGTTTAAAGACACACATTACATATATATATATATATATATATATACAGTGGGTGACATAAGTATTTGACCCCTTGCTGATTTTGCAGGTTTGCCCACTAACAAAGAATGCCTATTTTTCGTCATCAGATGGTTATCAATTTTTATAAATTCATATGATGTGATTTTCTGGAATTTTCTTTGGGATTCTGTCTTTCACTGTTAGAATGTACATATGATTAAAGTTATAGATCGTTGCATTCTTTGTAAGTGGGCAAACCTGCAAAATCAGCAAGGGGTCAAATACTTATTTCCCCCACTGTATATATA